TGGAGTAAATACTAACGATATGGATTTCTCTGATAAAAATCACATCATAAGAACATTTCTGGGTTAATTTTTTTTAATTGAAGAATTTTGTGTATGACATCAGGAAATCAAAACATGATTATAGTGATTAATGCTTATTTACAATAACGTTTGTTCAGTGATAAGTTATATATTTCAGAGATTTGCAGTAATTGGAAAATTTCATCTGTACATGTGATAACATTTTTGTAACACGTCCGTCTGTTTTGAGTGAAAATTGATGGCAAGACAATGAATAGAGGTAAAATAATGTAGTATTGAACATAGATTTTGTTAGTTAAAAGTTAATTAAAAATTGCTCCAGATTTCTTATGCTTTGTCAAAAACCTGTATCACTGCAGTTGAATTGTTTTGTCCTCCAAAATACAACTGGATTTTAATTTTTTCGAATGATGTTGATATTATCCGATCTCCTGTCAACTTTCGTTTTGGATCACTGCACTGGAATGGTATTTTCCTCCTAGGATAACCGGGTAGTAGTTCTTACGAAGGATGCTGATCTATTCTCTTCTGACCATTGAATATTGTTTGAAGGACATCTTTTAAATGCATCGATTGTTTCGTCCAAAATTTCATTGTCTGTTCTATTCAATAAAAAAAAATAAAAATATAACGTGTTTAATCAATTTAAATTTTGGTTAAAAAAGGTTTAAGAATTTTCAATAACAAATGCTTTTAAGCATCTCAAAGTGCTCTCTGTTTCTATTACCAGTCGGCTTCATTGGAGCGTCGTAATGATTATCTAGAATAAACCATCGTAGGAAAATCACATATATTACATTTAAAATTCGTCATTGGGGCATCCGTTTGATAGAATGTTAAAGTCAATTGGAAATGGTTTTATTAGAGATTTGGATTAACAAGGCATATGATATGCCTATTTTAAAAGTATACAAGCTTTATTGTCCCCCGCTTTCGCGAAAGCGAGGGGACATTAAATCTCATTCGTCTGTCCGTCAGTCTGTCATTCTGTCCGTCCGTCACATAAGCTTTAACCTTGCCCATAACTTTTGATTCAGTGGAACTATGACTTTCATATTTCACATATGTATTCCTTGTGACAAGACCTTTCTTTGGTTACCACCAAATTTGACCTTTTGACCTTGACGTTGAAGTTTGACCCACTTTTACACAAAAATTTCAAACTTTTACTTTGGCCATAACTTTTGAATGGTAGGTACTAGGACTTTCATATTTTACACATGTTTTTTTTGTAGCAAGACCTTTCATTGGATACCAACAACTTTGAATTTTTGACCTTGACGTTGGAAATTTCCTAAGTCCTACCAAAATATCTTTAACCTTGACCATAAGCTTTTAAATGGTAAGGGCTAGGACTTTTGTACTTCACATTTTGTAGTCCATGAGAGGAGACCTTTCATTGAATACCAACAACTCAGACCCTTTGACCTTGACCTTGGAGTTTAAACTACTGTTTAAAAACTTTAAGCTTGGTCACAACTTTTGAACGGTAAGTAATAGGACTGTCATATTTCACATATGTATTCTTTGTGACAAGATCTTTCATTGGATACCAACAACTTTGACCTTTTGACCTTGACCTTGGAGATTTACGTACTTCTGAAAAAACTTTAACCTTGACCATAACTTTTGAACGGTAAGGGCTAGGGCTTTCGTACTTCACATATGTAATCCTTGTGAGAAAATTTTTCTTGGAAGAAAACCAACAACTCAGACCCTTTCACCTTGGAGTTTGATCTCCCTTTCAAAAATGTATCCTCGACTTTAACTTTTGCTATGGATTTTGTATTTCACAATCGCATTTCTTGTGAGAAAAACTTTACTTTGGGTAATAAATATATTTTAATTTGCATTTAATAAAAAGTTTAATCTTCATGTTGCCATACGGCGTCATCAGTGTTTCACAAACACATCTTGTTCCTTATATTGAGAAGAGAAAGGGATTTCGATATTTGACATGTGTATTACCTGTGACAGATAATTTCGAGCATGCTATGATTTCTTACCTCGTGACCTTCTCCCACCTTCACCATTGACTTTATTTAAAAAAAACAACTTCAATGATAATTTTTAAATAAATGACATATGATATAGTGTTTATATTAGACACAATATGTCATAAAAAATAACATCTCATCCACAAGACACCGAAAGCGGGGGACCATATTTCTTTGAAATTGCTTGTTTATTTCATGATCTGAGCATTAAGAGTAAAGTTCTTAATATTGTATGGTATGAAATGTTACTTGCATAACAACGGATAGCTAACTATTGTTAGAAGCCCTGGCATACCCAACAAACTAGACAGTGATTACTTAAGTATTTGAATCAAATGGGTGATGTTAACCTGGACCAAATTGAAGACTTTTTTCTCGGGGAGATTGCCAGGTCATAAAACTGTATTTTAGAGGTGTAGTATGTTCTCCATGACTTTGTTTACCCCAAAATATGTATTTTTACTCATACGATGAAAAAAATATTTCAGAAGAAAAAGAGCAAGAAAATTGTTTAACCAATTTTTTCGAAAAAAAAAAAATCTAATTAAACGTGTTAATTAAACTGATAATCAGAATCCTTTTAAAACTTACCCACAGAAACAACTTTATATATATTTTTATCATTTGCTGTGAAATCCTGTCCAGGGGGTACCATGAGGGTATGCAATGTCTCAGTATAGTTACCAAGCTTCTTGTTCAAGCTGTTCATACACTGTCGCAAGTTCTTTAAGACTACAATGAAGAACGTTGATTTTTTTTTAAAATATTAACCTATAAAAGAGAAAAGTTATAAATTTTGAACAAATACTAATTTCCGTGTAATTTGATCAAATACGTACGTGGGTATATAGGATTAATGCAAAGACTTGTTTCTTTCGACTTGTACATTGAGATGAATCTTGTTTGATCAACACATTCTGTGACTTTAAAACTATCCAACTCCTCCACACAATCAACGAGTTCCTGGACATACCTGTAAAAACGATAGATAATAAGTAGCAAAGGCCTAAGAAGGGACAATTTGCACGTTAGTTAAAAATATGTTTTCGCAATACGCCCAAAATTACATGAGAACCTTCATGAAATGCTTACTTGCAATAATCGGTGAAGAAATTTTCTCCAAGGTACATATTTCCTTCTTGGTCAGTTGAATTCGGTGGTGCAAAGAAACAGGCATTCAAGCCAGGACAATCGTCCTCAATGTATGTATCGTTTATGTACTCGTATGTAGCATTTATGTATTCAAAGTCATCACGTTTTTCTTTATAGTTATCGATGTCATCTCGCCTCATCACAACATTACCTACATGTTCATAAGAGGGACAAATTAAAGAACAAATAGCAATTTAAACTTCGTTTTAAAGAGCCTGTTTTGAACAATGTCTCCATTATCACAACTGTATTCTGGTGAAGATCGAATTATACATTAATATACTTTTTTAAAAAGCTTCCAACTTCCAAGAGGAAAACTGAACATACATAACATAGAAACAACTGAATTTATAAGCCTTTAAAATTTCCACTGACAAACTTTCCTCAGCGATCTCATATATGTACAATACTCCGTATTTTAAATCAAAAACGTTCATTCTTTATGCTTACCAACGGCGTAACCAAAGTATGCCGAACTAATGATAAATAAGGCCCAGTAACAAACGAACATCTCTTTGTTCATGACTGTTCTCCGTTTGAAACATGAATGTTGCAATTTCCCAATGCTGCAATTTATAATTGCAGTAAATTATTAAAATCGTCCTTAATCATCAACAAAATTATTCAAATCTAATGATTTTCGACTGTAATTCTCAATTATGGAAAGGTCAAAACCTACGAACATGACAATTTGACTTAGTAATATAAATCCTATCCACTCTTTTTTAAATTACTGACGTCTATTTCGATTGTTATAGATATATTTTGTTCTTTGAGTCTCTCCTCTCGTTTACTTCTTCGGAATAAAAAAATATCATTTGGCGATGATTTTAAGGATTTTGAGTTGAACACAATTGTAACTATGAATTTGACAGCCCTAGCACCAACCATTAAAAAGATATGATCAAGGTTGAAGATTTGAAGAGTAGGTCAAGCTTCAAGGTAAAGGCAGTTGAAACGTACCCTGAAATACATATTTTCACAAGAAATACACGTGTAAAATCTTAAAACTTTAGCTCAAACTATTCAGAAGTTATGGTCAAGGTTTAAAGTTTTCCAAAGATAGGTTAAACTCCAAGGCCAGGAGGTCAACTTGGTAATTCCCAAGAAATGTAGTGTTACAAGGAAAACATAAGAAAGTCTAAGCACCAATAATTCTGAAGGAATGGGTAACATTAATTTATTACAAAAGTACTTTTAACTACAAGATCAATAGGCCTTAAGTGTTGGTACCAAAATCGTAGAAACATCTTGTCACAAGGGGCAACCATATGACATTACCCCCAGGACAATCATTTAGAGGTTAGTGTAAGGTGTTTTTAAAAGTGCGTCACACTACAAGAATATGATGAGATCATTCAAAATGCTAGTGTAACGAGTAAAGCAGAAGTCCAGTTTTGGGGTTCTTTATTTTTAATTAAATATCAAATTGGCAATGAGCTACAAACAAACAACAGTATACAACATCCCCCCACCAATAGAACGCACAAACAAAAATAAAAGAATTATTCAGTAAATGAATTTAAATTCAACTGAACACATACCACCAAAATATGGTGATGTCACACCCTGTCACTCACACATGAAATGTTTTACACTGCGTGTGTGGTCTCTACATTGAAATAAACAAGGTATCGGTATTTATTATATTAACGATAAAAAGGTATAATATTCAGAGTAATTCAAGTTAATTAAATAAAACACCAGATTAACACCAGTATCTTAGCACTAATCACGTCATCACTCTCAAACTTATCTCGAACACGTTCAGTTCATAACAGGGGCGTCAGCATAGTGAGTAATATTGATAGATAACCTGTCAGTGACGAACCAGTTTATATCTTAGAGATTTACTCAACAAACTAATAATTTTATAAATTCAAATCACTGTACTGAAAATTAATAAAAAATAGAAAACAACTAGATTAATATTCAAATAGAATTTTTATTAAGTTTTTAATAATATAATTTCTAAATAAAATTATAATATTAAATACCTGGCGCAAGGACAGAAACTCTGTAATAATTAAATAGATTGTCGGTTAATAAAGTATGGTGCGCGTTTCGCGTTCCTTTAATATGCGCAAAATCAACCGTTACACTAGTAATTTATACATGGAAAATGAAGGTGAAATGCAGCATTCAAAGATGAGATTGATTTTTTAAAGCCATTTTATTTCAGTGTAATTCTAAGCCATAGCTAGAAGCATCGATCATGCATCAGAGGATCACACTCAAAATTGATTCAGATTCTGGATATGATTTAATATTTAAATGAGTGAATAGTCTAATCTCTTTTATTACCAGCCCTTTCCTAAGTACCTGAAGCCTACAGCCATAACTGCATTTATAAATCTGGCCTTTAATCAAGTTTCAGTATAAATCATAAATACTTAACGGATTTCATAAATGAGGAAACATTTTACTGTAATAATCATTAATGGGATTTATTGGCAGGAGAAATATTGGATTTCGTGGTGGCTCAATGTTGTTGAACTCAGTTACACTTCATCCATGAATTACATCCCATACAAATTACGGTTACAAAGTTTTATATGCTAATAACTCTAGATTCAACAGAGTACACAAAATAACCTCCCTACGAACCTGCAAAATTGAATTAATGCAGAAAATTGCCCCATGAATTTTAATGATTCCACAGTAAGTCTAAATATACTTAGCAATCATGAAAATTTTTAGTGACTAATTGTGAAAATTCATATCATGTGGTGACTTTAACCTTGTATTAAATATAACATTAATATTTCATAAATATATAAATAAATGAAAGAAAGATGGTTAAAGAGCTTATCGAAGATAATTACTTTTTGATATTTAAGAAAAATCGGATGTTGAGATACGCTTGGGGGAAAAAGTCCCACAAAACAAATTATTTTCTGATATCAGAGAATTTACTGTCGTGTTACTACAAGCTCTACAGACCTACCTACCTAGTCCTTGTTATGCCCGTGGGCACATAGGGGAAGGACTAAGATTTCTCCACTTCTCTCTATCTTTAGCGTTTCTTTCCAGCTCTCCCCACGTTAGCTTGTGTTCCCTCATTTCTTTTTCAACCGTCCTTTGCCAGGTGATCTTTGGCCGACCAGGTTTCCTCTTCCCTTCTGGTGTCCATCTAAGGGCTACTTTGGTGATGTTGTCGGATTGCTTCCTCAACACATGCCCTATCCATCGCCATCTCCGTTTAGTCAACAAGGTCCGCATGTTGTCTGTGTTGGCCTTCTCATGTAGTTCCACATTTGTATTTTGTTTGGCCAGAAATCCTCATGATCTTTCTGAGGCATCCATTGTGGAAACTAGAGAGTTTGCATATGTCTCCTTCTGTCATTCTGGCGCATTCTGACCCATAGAGTAGGACAGACAGTACGCAACTGTTAAATATTCTTATTTTTGTCCTTCTACTTATATCATTTGTTTTCCAGATGTCCTTGAGGCTAATGAAGGCACCTCTGGCTTTACTTAGTCTGGCCTTTATATCTTTCCGCACCTCCATCTATGTAACTATGCTGCCAAGATAGGTAAATGTTGCTGTGTTGCTCAGGTCGTTTCCATCAACCTGTATTCTTGCTGGTTGTTTGGTGTTTAATGACATAACTTCAGTTTTCCTGGTATTGATTTTTAGTCCAATTTTTTCTGCATTTATCTGTAATTAGGTCTTCAAGATTGGTAAAGAGTGTCCATCTTATTCCTGTGTTATTCCCATTTAGGGTTGATTTCATTACCCAGTCAACTGCTAGTATAAACATAGGTAATCAAAGATTACGAAGCTCACCTCGATGAATGTTATCAGTTTAAGTAATGCAAATCTCACATCATATTTTCTTAATATTAAGTATTCATCCCAACAACAATATTCTTGCAAGTTGTGTTTAACCCCTTACATGGCATATACACATTTCTATGCGTGTAGCGTGAAAAACATGTATCGTGTAAACAAATATTTATAACTGTTAATACTGCAGATATCAAGGACTTCAAGTTCATTTGGATTGATCTGTTCCCAAAACTTTAACCTGGTCTCTTGTATGGAAAATATAGGTCAGATCCAGCATCCGAAGCAAGTCTGATAGTGTCCATCCTAAGACGCATTATCCATGCAAGTTTGGTTTAGCTAGGGCTTATAGTTACTTGGGAATGAAAATGTAGGTCAGATCCAGCATCCGAAGCAAGTCTGGTAGTGTCCATCCCTAGATACATCATCCATGCAAGTTTGGTCAGCTAGGGCTTATAGTTACTTGGGAATGAAAATGAAGGTCAGATCCAGCATCCGAAGCTTGTCTGGTAGTGTCCATCCTTAGATGCATCATCCATGCAAGTTTGGTTTAGCTAGGGCTTATAGTTACTTGGGAATGAGAATGTAGGTCAGATCCAGCATCCGAAGCAAGTCTGGTAGTGTCCATCCCTAGATGCATCATCCATGCAAGTTTGGTCAAAGGGCTTATAGTTCCTGTGGACCTGCTCTAAAAACTTTAACCTGGTCACTCATCTGGAAAATGTAGGTCAGATCCAGCATCCGAAGCAAGTCTGGTAGTGTACATCCCTAGATGCATCATCCATGCAAGTTTGGTCCAGGTAGGGCTTATAATTCCTTGGGAGTGGACCTGCTCCAAAAACTTTAACCTGCTCCAAAAACTTTAACCTGGTCACTCATCTAGAAAATGTAGGTCAGATCCAGCATCCGAAGCAAGTCTGGTAGTGTTCATCTTTTGATGTATCATCCATGCAAGTTTGGTTCAGGTAGGGCTTATAGCTCCTTGGGAATGGCTCCAAAAACTTTAACCTGCTCCAAAAACTTTAACCTGGTCACTCATCTAGAAAATGTAGGTCAGATCCAGCATCCGAAGCAAGTCTGGTAGTGTACATCCCTAGATGCATCATCCATGCAATTTTTGGTTGGGTAGGGCTTATAGTCACTTGAGAATGGACTTGCTCCTAAAACTTTAACCTGGGACGCCGACGCCAACGCCGGGGGTATAGCATAAGCTCATCTCCACTTCGTCGAGGTGAGCTAAAAAGGAAAAGAATGAATTCAGTTATTTATTATTGGTCTTATACAATGCTTAAAATGTTTTAATCTTTTACAAACAT